TCAGCTCGGTTTCTCTGGCCGGGGAGACAAGGCGTCTCGTTTTCCCAGTCCCCGCTGGCTCTGCCTCGCAAAAAGTATATTACTCTTTTTTTCTTCGCCAATCCCGTTCGTATTGAATTTCGTGCGCTAAAATTGAAATCTTATCAATCAGACACGTTCTCGCTTTTATTCGTCTTCAAATAAGCTTAGCGATCGAATCCGTCTGTAACTCAACGCGTCTCGATTCCATTATAATGACAGAAAGCATCAAATGAAACTATTTTTGGCACAATGGTATCTGCTTATCATTTAAAATGCGTGAATAAGGAATTATTATTTTATTTTTGGAAACCATTTCTTCCAGACTTTTATAGTAAATATTGTCACAAGGTCTCTGTGTGGATGTCGCTGTGTGACAATGTAGGGTTGGTTTGACGAACCGGGATTTACTTTTAGATTTTAACAAACAGTTTTATTGATTTTAAAGAGGTAAAGCTTAGTTCTCTTCTTCCTACACAATGAGCACTAAACTTCCGTAGGTTTAATTGAATTCTTTACACTTATTCAAAGATTTATTAATTTTCTTCATTCAATTAGAAAACAAACATCAATTTTTCATTATGCGAAGACTGCAAATATTTACAACACTAGATAATACTCATGTATCTTATGTTAAAATCAAAACCAAATTAAAAAAAAAGCTTCTTAATAATTAAATGAGATAAAAAGCTATATATCAAAATCTGTTTCAAGCTGACTTTTTTATATTTCTATTCCATAATACTTGTTTTATATCATGGAATTCATGAAACCTAAATCACAATCAGATTAAATTTTATTATAATTTAAATTTTATTCCGCTTAGCTAAAAAAAACCTAAAAAATAACGATTATATTATTATCATTGTTGGCTTGAAAGTTGTGACTTTTACAAAGCATAAGAAGCAAGTTCAAAAGTGCTTAAAATGGAATGATAATTGGAGTGGTGCCACTGCGGGCAAGGCATTAGCAAGTTCATAAATATTGAATGAAAAAGTTTCAAGATTAACAGCACAAGAAGTCGAAAAAACAGCTTGGAGATGAGGACAAACTCTTGCTTTCATTCTTTTTTGAATACGAAATGCACGGGAGAGCAAAAGAAGAATTGAGTGGAGCGGAATCATATCTGTATTTGCCAGATTCCGCTCGCAAACAAACACACGAAAGAGAGTTACTCTCCAAAGCGTCGTCCTTCCTCTCTCTCTCTCTCTCTAGTGAAAGATAAATCGAGCCGCCTGCCAGAGGAGCTGGAATATTCATCTTTCTCGCTTGCGTTCACGCGACCAAGCATGCTGTCTAATGGGTGTTTTAGTGCTCCCTTTTGCAAAACTTCATGTTCAAAGGGTCGCTCAAGAATGAAATGGGTACTTTTAGGTCCAATATTCCTGTCAGATTTTCAGGTAAACCTCTTTAAAAGTTACAACAATGAAAATAAGAAAGTTATTTTAACTCTTTAGATGTTAATTTAAAATAAAAAGTTTATTTTAATTCTAATAAATTTTTATTTTATACTAAATAAAATCATTATTAAACAATTAAAAACAAAAATTATATTTCACTTTTTTTAAACATTTTTTTCAATAAATTATTTCAAATTTATATAATATTAAGTATATTTACTCAATTGATTATTACAATCACAATGTATTTTGTAGTAGAAGTTCACGATCGAGGGTTGATTCATGGTGGATTGAATTTAAATTCGGCTTTTCCTCGATGGGTTTTTGTGAGTTTTTATTGTTTAAGAAAAACAATATCCTGCTCTACATGTTTCGGCTGCGGGCTGCAGCCATAATTCATGAGCTGTGAAAAACATTTTGACAAAAATTAGTACAAAATTAAATATTTTTTCAAAAATTATTTTTCTTTCAAATTGAAAAATTTTTCTTGAAAAATTATTTAAATTTACATTTCTTCACAAACAATAATTTTTAACAAAAATTTGACATTTACTTCAAAATATTTTTCAAAAACCAAATAAGTTTTTATAATAATTTTGGTCAGAATATTTAAGCGTGTGATTTGAGCGTACCTTTCTCGGCGGTGGTCGAGAGAAGACTAAATTATTTTTCGGTTGGTTTTTCGGGTAAAAGATATGTTTTGGGATTGCATTGTATTCACTCGTCGCCACTGCTGTCTGCATATTTCTTTATTTTGTGCGCGGCCTAAGCTGATACCTGTGGGTGCGGATGGGTTTATTGCTCTTTTGTGCACTTGCAATAGGCGCGGCGGCACTCTTTTTCTTTCTCCTGTTTTCTCCTGGCGAGCGGAGGGCTGTTGCCGCGACTGATTTTCTTCTCCCTCTTGGCGGCGCCGGCCACGAACACAATGTATTTAGTAAATAAATAGCATCAGATCGTTAAGGCTTTAGATTCCATTATTTATAAGTAAACATAAATACGTAGCACCGTTCTTTTTTGGGATTGATCAATCATTCTAAGAAATAAGTTTTTATTATTCAAATAAAATAAATCGTTTTTTTTTTGAAAAGTATAAAAATAGTCTAGAATATGCTTCAGAATGAAATGAAGAATGTCATTAATGATTCAAAATGTTTGAGGGTTAAATTTTTTTATTCATTATTAAAATGGAATTGTTTTGAAAGTTTATTATATTTAAGTCCTAATCTATTTTGATACTATTTTTTACATATTTACTGAATTTTATATTTAACCTGGAAATTTTAAAATCTAAATTTGATTCTAATATGCCACCTCTTTAGGAAAATAATAAATAAACTGCGAATTAGGTTTGAGGATCTTGTCGTTAAATAAGATATATTGTATGATTTTTCGTATCTTTTTGTCTGACTTTACTTGAGACTATCAAATTTTCATGAACATTTTTTCCGGCGAATTGAGAAATGCAAGCTCAAATTTTAGTACCACAGCGATAAATTATACTCTCTTGCCTTAAAAACTAGAGCACGCCTGTGGAGGAGAAACTAGCTGATAGTAAAAAAACCCTAACGACGCGCTCTTTACTTTACTCTTTCCCTCGCTGCTTAATTCCAGCAATGAAGTTAAAGCGCGCGAGCGCGGTCGTATAATTTGCACGGCGACAAAATGCCAGAGCCGGTGGTGGAATATAGCGAGCTTTTATTGCTACAACAAGTGCTGATAGCGTGGCGAAAGTATTAAATTTCTCACTTAAATTGAAACCGGTCTTATCAGATGCGCCGGGCGTAAAAGAAAAGAGAGGCGCTTTTATTCAATCAAGAGCGTTAATGAAATGCTAATTTATTCAGCCCGGCTCCTCCCCAAATTGGCTGCAACTCATTTGAAACGTCTTTACGGCCAGAGATACGCCGCGAATTGATGAGTCCGCCGTGAGTAAAACTCAAATTTCCCGCCCCAGGATGATTTATTTTTCATTTCTATCAGTCCTTTGGCGCCGGGCGAGATATTTCACGGCGAAATTTGTTTTGGCCTTCGCGATAAAAAGGCACGGAAAGTTAGTCTCGCGCAGAATTATATATGGGCCAGTTTGCTATCGTCGGCGGATCTCAAAGCCCGGCGCTTTTCCTTTGGCTTTTCCGATTTTCCGCCGAGTCGAGCTGCGAACGCCATCTGCCTGGGAAAGGCGGAACTCAAGACTGGGGAACAGTTCCAGCTTTTCCCGTTGGCGTCCTCGCTCAGCAATCAATCGTAATCCGCACTTTTGCTCACTTCTCTCTCCACATTCGCAATAATATTGTTCATTGTTTAATTCCTCTTTACCATAAGTTGATAAATTGGCTTTTAAAAAATTCCTGACACACTTTTATCTGCAAATGATTGAAATTTAATGCAAGTGCCTGGGATTAATAAATTGGAAAATAGCATAAATAACTATAGAGTTACTGCTTGTAATGAATTTCTAGACTTAAAAATTACAGTTCGCTGTTTTTTTTTTATTCCAAATAGCAAAAAAAAATTTTGACAGAAAAAACTTGAATTTTAGCTCATTTCATTTGAAATTCTTAATTATTTTTGCAAAATCATTGTTTTGTGAAGAGTAGTTCTGTGCAAATTGTAAGTTTGTTTTAGTGTCATTTATTAATGTTATAATTCGTTTATATTAAAACTTTTTAGTTCAAATGATAATTGTGGAGGAAGCAACAGTAAATAATTATAATTATGTATCGATCAATGCGTAGACATTTAATTTTGCGATTTCATTATTTTTGATATTATTATTGATAAATCATGATAATTTATTATGAAATTATTATTCTTCAGTGTGGTTTACTGATATACATTGTTAAGCAGTAATTTGGTAGACTGTGAGAGAAAATTCCTTCTTGAAACAGGAAGAAAAGAAGCAGCGCGTCATTCATTTTTGACGTTTTGAATTTCCGCAAGAGCGACTCACGGCGGCGACATAATTAGATTGCAAAGTTTAGCTCTCCTAATATGGTAGCTAGCGCACTGCCGTTCTTATTTCCTGCTTGAGGCACCGTGCAAAAAAGTAGTCGAGCAAGCAAATTCAATTTTTCTCCCCCACCCCTTGAGCAATTTTAAGGAGAGTTGTGCGCTTTCTATTAGCAGCAACTCTTGATTTGGCTAATAATTCCCGAGAAGTCGTTGAAAAGGAAGGATGTCGCCGCCTTGTCGGGGGAAATAATTACATGTGGGAAGGATGCACAGGGGCACCGCAATAGACTTCCTCTTCTTGAGCGCAATAAGGCCAATTTTCATTCCCCTCGTTGGCAAATAAGATGTTCTTCAAAACACCGTGTGACTGACTTGTTGACTGACTTTGAATTAAAACGGAATGTAATTTTGCTGCAATTTTATTTATCATAGAATCAATAAAATTTTTATTTTAATTCAAACTGGAATTAAAATTTCATAATTATGCACAGTGAATACAATCAAATTATGTTTTATCTAATCCAAATTTCTGTTCTTATTTAATATTTCATACAAATAATTTATTTCATTTATAAATGTAAAACAAGATAATGAATTATTTATAATGATACACTTTAATGATTTCAGTAAAACCAAAAAAGGTGCATATAAAAGTGAGCCGAGGTGCAACTTTTTCTGCTGGACGAATGCATCAACTAGAGTGTGAATCGTGGGGATCGGTGCCAGCACCTAGAATGACGTGGCTTGTAGACGGCGAACTACTCAGACTGGCCGATACAGTTGTAAGTAATCTATAAATTTAAAAAGTAAAATCACAAAATAATACTGCAAATTCTTTTATTTTATTTTATTTTTTTTCTTTTTATGAAAGCAGTGAAATTAACTGGAGTTTTGAAATGACATTAGTATAAACTATTGTCAAATGTAACATTTATTAAATTTTAAATAATATAATTCCAAAACAGAGTCAAAACACAATGTTAAACATTACATTGGATCCTTTATTTGCAATGAACTACAGAGAGAGAAGTAAAAAATATTTGTCTCATAAATATTTATTTAGATGATAAAATAGGATAAAATTGATAATATTTCTACGGTATTTTTCATTTGAAAATTAATTAGGTTTATATTTCCTATCTCATGTAGTAAAATTCTCTTCAGTGCATTTCAACCAGATGTATTTTTTTCAATTTACATGAAATCAATTAATATTTTATCAATGCAGATAACGCACGGTCTCAACTCGAGCACAAGCGCTCTGGTGCTGCAACCCACGTTGCAAGACCACGGCAAAGAACTCACCTGCCGGGCTGAAAATCCAAGATTTCCCGGCGGATTCGTCGAGGACAGGATTCGAATGAACATTGCCTGTGAGTTTGCACATTCCATTATAATTACTCGTCGTCTCTAAACACCTCCATGTCCCTAGATGTGCCGACTGCGTACGCAAAGCTCGGAGTTAACATCGACCCACACAACATCAAAGAAGGTGACAACGTTTACTTTGTGTGTGATGTGACCGCAAATCCACCAGTCAACAACATCTCCTGGCTGCACAATGTAAGTAGATAAACCGACCCGATTAGCCCATTCATTCCTGCAGAAACTTCAAAGTTGCAGTTGGTATCTATGAAGAGGCCTCTTTTTTCCCAAAATTAAAAATATATATATAAAAAAATAAGAATTATTGTTAACAATGATATTATAATGAATTGAAAATAAATTTTATTTTTATTTTACGATTTAAAAATTTTAGCGTAGAATATTATTATTTTTACTAATTGTTATTATTTAAAAATCTATATTTTTAAATTGTTTAATATCTCCTGTATATAATTGGAGATAATCATTTATAAACTATACTTATATTGCGTTTTTATTATTTAGTAGAGTAATGCATACATGTTCCCTAAGCTTAAAAAATTAAGATAAAATCATTATGGAAGTGGGATTCTGGTTAGGAACTTGTCAACATATTATTAATTAAATTGCATTGAATTAATACATTATGGTAATAATGATTTGCTGTAACAAGAATCAGTGCGACAATGTCTAGAGAATGAAACACAAAAATAAGCATTTTTTTTTTTTTAATTTCTAGAATTTAAAGTGGAGTATTTTATGAGACCATTTTAAAAGCAGACAATTAACCAAGCCAGTCAAGCCAGTGGTGCCATCGTTGGCTTAAAATCAAAATCAGAGCTACGTGCTGGGCTCGGGGCGCGCAAATGAATTCCCCCGACTGGCAGCTCGAGGCTGGATTACGGCTGAAAGCAACTTGCGATTATTTAATCCGTCGCTGCACCACTGTTTCGCGTCAAGAAAAACACAATAAAGGTTGACGTGGGCCGGTGGAAAAAACTTCGCCGGAGTTGGAAAAAAAACGAGGCAGTCAGATTTGCCACTGGCTAATAACACAGCTTACACCACCAGATCTCTCTTTTTTTTGTAAATCCTCAGGTGACTGTCACTCAAACTAACATACAGCTAAGCCGTAAAAAGTTTGCTCATTAGCCCAAAGTAGAAAATTCGCCAAATCTGAAATTTGCTTGTACTAATGGAATGAGTTTCGGTGAAAAGATGAAAAAAAATGGTAATGCTAGATTTGTGAATATTTTAGGAAACGAGTGCCAAAGCTTTTATGTTTTTATTATTTTCTGCTGCGTATGAAAAAGCTAGGAAAAATAAACATAGCAAAAAGCGATCATTTCCATGTATTCAATATAGACACTGCAGTAATAAAATAAAAAAAAAAAATTGATTCCATGCCAGGGTGCAATGGAGTGCAGCTGGATTTTATTGTTGATACTGCATATTTTTTATGACGTGCACTATCTGATATTCGAGCATCCAAAAGCATATATTCAGACGAAAGAAATTAATTTTATAACAAAAAAATAAATATAAGGAAGTCAAAATACTGATTTGATAGGTTTTTTACTATTTGAACTTGTTTTTACATGAATAAGAGAAGTGCTATTTGCATCACCAAAAAATAAAAGAAATTAGAGTAACCAGTTTCTGCCAGTTTCGATCACGCCATGCAAGTCTTTTTCAAAAGCAAGCAAGAAAAAAACAGAAAAAGGAAAAAAGATAATCAAATACTAATAAAAATTAATTTAATATATAAAATTGTCAACACTTCTAACCGAAAGCAAACATTCTTCAATGAACAGAAAGCCTGTTTTTTAAAACCAATTTTTAAACCATGATTTAAGATTATTTTAAATATCTAATTTATCATTGGGCAATGTGTTGAGTTATAAAGATGAATCTTTAAGAAAGAAGAGTAATAATAAAAAGCTTACAATTAATAAATTCAATTATTACCTGAGCAAACCTACAAATCAATTTTTCATATAAGCAGTCTCCACCAGTGTTCATTAATTTTTGCAAATAATATATGAAGTCATTTGATGAACAAGTGAATTATAAATTCAATTATTTAGGGGTAAAGTAATTACATCGCATCTTATATATTACTTATTTCAATCAATTCAAATTTTCATGTACTATTATTGTTTGTAACTTATATCAATAATAAATAATCAATGTTACTTATTGTTACACTTGAAAATATTTATATAGAATTAAAATTTGATTTTATAATTCTTTGAATAAATCATTTGCCTAATATTTGTTATAATAAATAACAAAAATTTCTTATTGTTTGATTTTCTTTAAACAAAATTAATTTACACATTTTAATATATTATTGTATGAAAATATTAAAAAATAATATTAATAAAAAACAAAATATTGCATAATAATAATTAAAATATCATTTGCAATTACACAATACATTAAATATATGTTTAATGTGATAAAATTCTTTTGATTTCCATCGTTTTTAATATTAAAGTTGGCGTTCAGAGAAAAAAATCTTTTCATATTACCGCTGATATTTGCGGTTGACAGACGATTGTAAAGAATCACCACGCGAGGTTATATAACGAATGGGGCGATGCGTCTTTTTGCGCCGCGTGAAAGAGAACAGAGCAAAGAAATGAGTGGCGGCCGAATTTCCCCAAGGAAGCCACCGTCCTCCTCGGGCAGCGGTTCCTTTTTATAAAGTGGACCCCGCTGGATTTCGGCTGGCTTATCTTGTTTTTATTTGAAATATGCTCGGTGGAATCTCTGGTTCTTTTTCTTCTTGTCTGTTGTGGATCGCTTTTGAATGCGCGCCGGCAAAAAATCAGCCCCCTCTCGTAAGCATAAAAGCGGAAAACGTGATCCGCCTGAATGTATTCGCAGATTTTTATCAATTCCAGCCGGCCGGATGGCGGAAGAGGCTGTGCTGAGTAATGGCGCAGGATTTTTGCCTCTCATTCTTGATCCCGCAACCTTTGCTCTATCTCCAATTCTTGATGTTCCTTTTATATGAAAAATCTGCGTTTATTATACATTTATTCAATGGAAAATTACACAAACGGAACATCTATAAAGACGAAAAACATATTTTTAATAAACGTGAAAGCTTTTTCCTTAAGAAAATTCTAATGCCAGATTTTTAGGAATTTTTTTTTTATTTGCAATAAAAATAGACTTTTAACCACCATAAAGGAACTGTTGCTTGCCACTCTGGAACTCAATTACATTTTAAATAATTATTTGAATCACTAAAGAAAGGATATATTTGAATTTTTATATTATGTTTTTTTACATGATTTGCAGTTTTGAGGGGTTTTTTTAGCAACCTTGAAGAATTTCATTTAAAAAACTTTATAAATTAATTAAACCTTATTTTCTTTTTGTTTAGCAGAAAAAATTACTACTATTTATATGAAGCTAACTACTTTTGCCAACTAATTGCAATTCTACTTGACCTACCTTTGCATTGTGTAATAATCTTAAGTACGAATTATTTCAATCAAATGCGTCATCGTCGCTCTTACAAATATAGTAGGAGAAGGAAATTGCGAAAGATGTAGCGTTTCTTTCTCATAAACAGTGATCAAATGTGTGTCACTCTTGCATTCAAATTAAATTTTACACACGTCATGTGCCCTCACAATCTTGTTGAAACACGTTCGCATATATATTGCTTACTTACAAAGAAAACGGCGTGCAAAGGAATTTACTCTCGTCGCAATTCCTCGCTCGGCTGATTTCGCTCACAGACCTCCTCAGAGATGCAATCTTGCAAAAAGTGGTAGCGGGAGGAGTGTTTGTTGCTTTTATTGCACATTCTCGTGCGCTTTATCCCGCGACTTTTCACTCGGAACGAAGTTAAATGAACTTCTCTTTGTTGTTTCACTGTCAGCCGAGCATTTCGAAATTAATTTTCTTGACAAAATAATAACAATTTATCTCAAATTCTGAATAAACAAGCCTCCTTGGTTTATAGTTCACTCAGGTAACGATTCTTAATTCTTATTTTTGATATAAAAATAAACGAAATTACTTGACTGAAATGTGGATAAACAAATTGGAACAAGGAGGGCATCGAAGAGGCTTAAATTTCCCAGCCAAAAGTATTTGGACCTGAATTTTAACTTGTAATTCGGCTGCCAGTTTCAAATTCAATTGTTTGTTTTCCTGGAATGTTAACCTATAATTAGCTCCTGCCTAGGATTGTGTTTCTTTTTTCTTTTTGTGAAATCAGGAATAAAAATCATATATGGAGACGCCTTTTAGTTTAAATATGATTTTTGGAAAAGCTCAATTAAAATTTAGTTTAATGTTCAAGAGAAAAAGCTATCGAATATCAACCATTACTCTTGCAAAAATAAAATGCTTGTATCCGGCAAGTGCCATTTTCCTTCTTTTTCCGTTTTGGAGAGAATTGATGACCGCCATATTTTGTCTCCCCAAATCCATAAATATAATTTACGAGTCCGTTGCAGCCAAAGGCTTTTTCCTAGATTGGATCGAGCCGCGCAGAAAATATTATACGCTCGGTGTGGGCGACACACACCTTGCCGAATTTGCATTTTGCAATCAGAGATCCGGCAGTCGGGGCCGATTTTATTGGCCTTATATATTATATTTGGATTGTGCTGATGCGGCAAAAGGCGGGGACCAATCGACGTTTTTACGGTGCAGCGGCCATAAATTAAGCGGATCTAGAACCGACTCGCTTCAAAAATCTCGCCGGTCCGCAGTATAGCTCTCTTCGTACCTGGGCGTTTAATAATTTAGGCGGCGCACTCACGCGAGGCTAATTGCTAATTCCGGGCCAATTATTCGCGAGCCCACCGCATTATATAACATTTCTCCGCAAAGAGAATTTTCGCAGCCGCCGAGTTATTACATCGCGGATCCCCTGGGAGTGAAAAGCTCCTCGCCCAAGCTGATTGGTTCGTTTTCACAGAATTTCAGAAAGCAAACGAAAGGTGGTTTAATTAGTTTAATAATATGCAATCTTGATTGAGTACCAAGGCTTGGATTTTATTTATATTTTTTTCATATTTACTGCAAAATCCATTCTAAAAATGGTAATTTTTTGTCTTAACTGTTGCTATATTTACTTTAAGAAAATTTAGTAAATACTCATTTAATTAATAGAAAAGTTCATTCAAAATTATTTCCACATATTATTTCTAAAAAAAATTAATTCT